ATATATATATATATTCTAGCATTAATTTCATTAAGATATGTGATATTTATTATATTAGTAGAAATATTAGATTCTATATTTTGGAATAAATGAATCTATGAGAATTATATATTCATTTATAGAATATATCTGTGAGAAATATTCTTAATAATTTTATAAGATAAAATAAAAATTATATCTGTATAATAAAATAAGATAATCATAACGAAAGAATTAGATCTAAGAAGAAGATAAGATCATATCTATTATTATAGATTTATCATAAATTCAAAATATCGTCATTAGATATCTCGAGAAAAGAAAATAAGAATAAGAATCTCCAAAATAGGGAAGTCTGATTTAGCTTTGATATCATAATAAGATAATATCTGAAATTTTATGATATCTTTTATAATCGGCATGTACTCGTCATAGAATTCCCAGGGAGACCAAAATCCGATAACATATGCATTTTTCTCATATGAAATCATGCGCAAGGAGTATTATAGCTCCGTGACATAAATCTATGACATGACTTATTCTTCGAAGATTAATTGAAATGAATCTGGGAACAAATGATGATTTTTCATTAATATTATATAAGTCGAAATAATAATGATTAATCAGAATAATCATAAATTTAAATCGTACGGATCTAATCTTTAATTATTCCATCTTATAAAAAAATAACTTATATATATTTTATTATTATAGAATCTCTTATATATTTCCGAGCATGATAGAAATATCAAATCATGAATAAAAAATCGAAAGAAATAAATAAATATCTTTTCTACATTTCTTCTTTGCATTTCTATCTTTTCATGATATCCGACAAGAAGATATTCATCGCTACAGAGTCATATTAAATGCCAAGATTCATGATTTGTATCTTTTGCTTTCTATATACGAAATTTCGACAAGATCAAGAATTTAGAATATCTCGACAAATCGAAGATCTAACAAAGCGATTACGAAAGAATTATCATTATTAGAAGACGCCACTTCTATTGTCGATCCTAGATCCAATTAATATTGTATATAATGTAATTAATATCTATCAGAATTTTTTAGAAAATATTAATACCTCTAATTCGAATTTCTATTTATAGAATATTTAGATCGAATCATTTCAATACCGATGCTCATAGATTTTATTTTTATTAAAAATATAAAAATATCAAGGTTAATATCATCTTCCAATTAATAAGGCCTGCAAAGTCTACGTCCACGACGATCATTTATATATTAAGCATATTTTTATAAATAGAGATATTCAATATAAGCTCGATAATTAGTTAATAATATCCACGAAAATCAACAAATATATAGAAACCCGCAATAATACAAAATACCACAAGAAATTTTATTCGTTTAATTTCTAAGATAGAAAATATTATTCAATACAAATCAATTTCTTCCAAATAATATCTTATAATATAAATTCAAATTCAAATAAGAAATGAATTAATAGTATCGAATAATATCAATATATCCTAAGATCAAACTAATAAGATTACAAAGGAGAAAATATCATATTTTAAATAAATAAAATATCTATTTAAGAAATATTCGAAATTTCAATTAACACTTATCGAATTATTCCAAAGAAAAATATAAGGAATATCGATATAGAATTAAATCGTATAAAAAATAATTTAGAAATCTTTTGGAAATTTCTCAGAAATAAATAATTACGAGGGGTTTGGGGTGAGGTCCGAAGCGATTATCTTCTTTATTTATATTCTTATATTTTTCTAGAATGATTTCATATATATGTCTTTAAATTTGACGGAAGAAATAATAATTATTCATCATCAAGATATAGGATATTATAATCTCCTTTCTTTTGGGGTTCTTTCTTGCAAGGTTCGTCATGGAGAATTAGATAAAAATTTCAATATATTCCGAGAAATCACGAGAAGGATTGCTATATGTTCGCCAAAAGTTCTCCGAACCTATGTCTCCAACTTATTTGGAGGGCCTTCGTACCCGCTTGTGCATGGCGAATCGAAGCCTTCACACTAGCTTCTTTTTGCTCGCACCTACAGCTCACTGCCAGCTTGGCCACCATTCCGCATCGTTGTAGCCTCCCCAATTCCACTGTCCCCTGCCACATACAAAGAGAAGCGCCGAAACTCGCTGTCTTGAGACCTTCGCACGCAGGATCCTAGCTAAGTGGACAGCTTCGGCCTAACAAATTTGGCCCCCAGTACATGTTCCATCACAACAGCTGGTTGAGGTCAATGTTTCAAAGGTGTGATGTTTCTCACCTGGAGTAGCCGAGTTTACCAGCGAAGCAAGGCGCCAGGTTCAGCCAAGCATTCAGGATGCGAAAAAAGCAATAGGAAGCTACGCCATAGGTCAACCGTCTACACTAGAAGCCCCTAGCTTTCCGAATTCACCGAAAGTCTGCCTTCCCCAAACCCCTTGCACAGGGACCAAACTCCAACCGTAACACGCAGACCCGAAGGCTTCAGGTCCCAAAAACCCAAAAAAGCTGTTTCGATCCCGGGGGCTTGGAGAAGAGACCGAAAAAGCCGCCCTTTGGCCGCTCTGCATCCAGGGAGGAGGGCCGACGATCCACGGCGAGGCCTGATAACTAGAATAAGATTTTGAGGAGCCCTAAGGATGAATAATTGTACTAAGTACTCCTAATGACAGACAGGTTTTGGGAGCTCAGGAGCTCTCCTTTAATTTTAGCCTTTGTGTTGATTCTCCTTCAGGGGCCTGTTAGCCCCTGTTCCCACGTGATTGTTTAGGGATTGACTCGGGAGCGAGGCGGAGGGGGGGGTCACTGCCAGGATTCAGTGCGAACACCAATGGGAAGATCGTAGGGATGGCTGTGACGACCATCATTGCTGATTCACAATAGTAATCTGAATGCACTAAGAATACGAATGGTTGAAAGTTAAAGGACAAGTCCTAACTAATAACTTGGTTGTAGTTTTGGGGTCCGTCAGAACCATAAACTTAAATGAAAATTAAACAGTTTCCCAACGTGCCACCTAGATAAGTATAACAAACGTGGCCGTTCTCACCAAGAATCTTCCGTGGTCTCTCAGCATTCCTGTGCTGAGGTTGGGTCAAGTCTCATGACGTCCGATTCAACTGTCAACTCTAAAGCAATCCCGAAGCCATGACCATAGGTTGCCCTGATGCTTCCATTGCTCTTCGCAAAAACCTAACTTTCCATGTGTCGGGGATTTCGGTGGCACGAGTAGGATTGGATCTAGGGTCGGGCCTCATCCATGGGAATGTATGCGGAAGCCGTCACATCACTGAACCTCACACCCTGTGAGTCGGACGCGGCCGGCTTCAGAAGAGGCTCGGATCTCCGTGGGCGGAATCTTAGGCTTAGTTCTCTTGGCCCAGCCAGCAGCGACTAACAACACGACCAACAACAACAACAACACCAACACCAACCACCATGACGACCGCCACCAAGACAACCACAACCAAGAACAACCAGCACAACAAGCAGCAGCAGGAGACCCGTACTCACAACCTACCAGCATGCATTCGTCTAAGGCCAAGGCATACAGCAAGCACCTTCCGTTATTCCGCGCCAGGATCCGGGCTTTTAGGATTGTAAGAGCTCCGCCGCTAGAACATCCTGCCCTCGTGTGCGCCAGCCCCTGCCCTGTTCGTTTTCTTCTACTCAAGGGGGATTGTGGTTCCCGAACAGTCTATGTGAGAATCCGCAAATATATCACACAACGGAACACGACAACCTCAAATCAGGGACAACAGACAACACCTTGGGGCCATGCTGCAAGGAGCACACCGCATCTCTGAAACAACAAACCTTAAGCCCTGAAAACCTACACCGTTAACCACGTAAACCCGAAACTGTCAAGACAAGAGCTGAATGCTAAGCCCTCTCCAAAATGTTGAAGCCCTGAAGACAGAAACTCCATAAACCCAAACCCTAAACCACTTAAGCCCGAAACCTCACAGACCCCAAAATCCCAAATTCTCAAAACCCATATCCTGCTCCGAGTGGCGGTACGAGCCCAGCTCGGAGGGTTGACCAAGGGCAGCGAGTTGGTGGAGCTGGTCCTGCGGGTTAAGGGTTCTGCAAAGGTTGTTAAACGGCTCTCTCTTAGTTGCTTATATAAGGCTTTCCAAGAGGTTCTACAAGGATTCTGTAGGGAATAGTCGCTAAGAGATTTGTGAACCTCTTCAAGGAGCATTTCAGCGATTAAGTCTTGCTGGAAATTACCGAGGGCTCTCATCGGCCTTGCTGCTCGGCGTGAATGGCCCTGCCATTGGGCCCGTAGTCTTGCAATTCCCCACAGATCCTCAACTACGAAAGTACGCTAGTTCCTCAGATGCCCGAGTAGGTTCTAGACCTATAGAGCCACCTTCATGTCAGACCAAAAGATGCTGCAAGAGTGTTGACATTGAAGGTGAGGTACCGGCAGGGGTTGGTAGGGCTTCGTCACACAAATGCTTGTGTGGTTGAAACCCCGAACTTCAGTCGGAGTTTTGGGTCACCGAAAGCTGGGCGGCGAAAACGGGCTTAGCGTTGGATGAGTCATTCTTAAACGAGCGGTTTAGAGCTGTGTGAGAAAGTTGAGCTTGTTCTCTAGGTAGTCGAGATTGACATCGCAAGACCAAGGGTTCAAAACAGTATCTTACACGAGAAACTGTCAGTGCAAAAATGACACCGGGGCTATTATGGTGGCCCTTGATAGGTAGAATAAGTAATGTACCCCCAAACCCTTCAATACCGCAGCAACAACAAGAAGCATTAAGTAGGCTTCTAAGCCTCGCCATGCACAAGCGAAGTTCACAGTTGTGAGTAGATCTTGTGTCGATTCGTCCCCTCAGTCTATCTCTTCAAAACTTGCTGACCTCCAAACACTACTGTATAAGCTGACCCTGAAAGCACACTAGACAGGTACCAATGATTGCTTTCGGGGGTATGTTATGGTATGCTATCTTGTATTGTAGTGCACTGCACATTGCTTGGGGGCGCGATATTGCTGTGAACACATATACATTTGTGTGTGTATATATATAT